TTTGTTATTTTGCGTCGGAGAAGCCGCATGCACAAGAGCACACCCGGCCGATAGGTCTCGGACGGAAGAAGTTGAAGTAGGTAGGGGGCTGCCCCCCAGCAGGGGCCCGGCCGAAGGCCCACGAACGGAGCTAAGAGCGCGCCGCGAGTAGCCCGGGGACAACTTGAACACGCCTCCTCGCCAGCGCCGCAACAGCCACTCCCAAGAATCACGAAACAGCTCATCCAGTCAATTAAGCAGCACCTCGAGCTGGATGGAGCTGTAGTCGTCCTTGTCGAAGGCCGTCCGGTAGACGTCGTCGACGAAGTACTCCTCGACCGTCGGCCGGACGCCCGACGCGACGAGGTAGGCCCGCAGCGACGACGACGCGACGTCCGGCAGGACGCGGAGCCCGAGGCGCCGCGCCTGGCCCTCGAGCAAGAGCCGCGGCCGCAGCTCCGGCGGGTCCACGAGGACGGCGGAGAGCTGGAGCTGCGGCGCGGGCCGGTCGCCCGCGTTCGCGTCGCCCCAGCCCGCGAAGCCGCGGAGCTCCGCGAGGTCGTCGCCGTCGGGGAGCTCACGGACAGGGCCGCGCAGAATCCCTTATTCGCGCAAAGCTCCACAAGTCGACTTCAGCGAGTCGGCGAAGAGGTCACGGTACAGAGATAATGCAGTCCATAGTCGGTGTGACGATTACCACACCTCCCCCTAGTGGCGGTGGTCCGGGTCCTCCGTGGGCACGTTCCGAAACCCCGGCTGCGGGCTGACGTGCGCGTGGACGTGGCCGTGCTCGTGGAGGTGCGCGTGGTCGTGCTCCGACAGGTGGCGCTCCGCGGAGTCGGACGCGCGGAGCGCGCGGCGCAACAGGTCGTTGCGCGTCTCGACGGGCTCCGTGAGCGCGCGCGGCCGGCCGCGGAGCGGGATGCGCACGAGGAGGAGCCGCTCGTGGAACGCGGGCTGCTCCTCGCCCGGCGGGCTCGGCGGGACGAGCGCCGCCGTCTCCGACTGGACGCTCGTCGGCTTCGCGGCGGGTAACGGCCGCGGCGCCGCGAGGTCCGCGGCCTCGTACAGATAAAAACCCGCGAGCACGACGACCAGCCCCGCGACCGTCGCCGGCGCGATGGGCTCGCGGAATTCGCCGAGCACGGGCAGCGCGAAGGCCAGCGTCGACAAAGGGAGCAACACGGAATACAGGATCGCCGTCAGCGCCGCGCCGCCGCGCTTCGTCACGAACAAGCCCGTCACGTTGAGCACGAAGTTGTTCAGCACGTAGGCCAGCATCAAACTCGTCTTGTACGGCGATTTCCCGAAGACGACGTTCCGCGAGTCGCGGAGCACGAGCTCGCCGACCTGCTTGAGCCGCAGGCCCGCCGGCGTGGCGACGCCGGGCACGCACTGCAAGGGAGCGAACGCGAAGCCGAAGAGGAACTGGAAGCACGACACCCACTGCGTCAGGTACATGACGTGGACGTCCTCGCCGTTGAAGCGCCACTCCTTGTAGACGGCGCTCAGCGCCATGGGCACGTTGGAGCCCCAGTAGACCAGGATCGACGACGACACGCGGTCGCTCCACGGCGAGCCCGGCGTCGCGTTCGCCGCGCGGAGCTCGGGCGCGACGACGACGCACGCGCCGACGAGGATGACGCACGCGCCTAGAATCTTGTGCCGCGCGTACGTCGTCTTCAGGAAGAGGACGCTCGCGGCCATCGTGCAGGGCACGAGGCTCTGGTTGAGCAGCGTCTGCAGCTGCCCCGGCGCGTCGACGGCGCCCGTCGCCGCGCAGAGCCCGCCGAGGCAGTCGAGCGCCGCCATGGCCGCGAAGGGCCACTTGCGGCCGCGGCGCATCGCCGGCGTGATCTCCCTCGAGACCTGCCAGAGCGCCAGGCCGCCGTAGACGCAGTAGAGCAGGTTGATGCCCTGCATGACGAAGAAGGCGCTCGCCTCGCCGTAGGCCGCGAACAAGATCTTGTAGAGCACGTAGTTCGACGGCCCGACGGCGATCATCAGCGCGAAGGCTGGGACCAGCCGCCGCGCGTCCCGCGGCGGCGCCATTGCCAGACGACGCGGTCGACCTCGCTGTGGCGCACGCCCTGGCAACGAGGGCAACGTGAAGTTAAGATGCATCGACACAAAAAGTCGTCTTTTACCCCTGGAAGACGTAGCGCGACCCGCCGCCGGCGGCCTTGTCCTCGACGACGAGCCCCGGCGGGCCGTCGTCGTCGCCGTCCGCGGCGCGCCGGAGCTCGCTGAAGGACGTCTCGCCGACGCCGCCGCGGAAGGACGAGCGCCGCGACACGACCTGGGAGACGAGGGACGAGAAGAGCGCCGCCGCGCAGAGCGCCAACGAGCACACGGCGACCGCGGCGATGACGCGCGGCAGCGCGGGCCGCGGCGGCGCGACGCGGAGCGCCGGCGGCGGCGTCGCCGGCGGCGCGCCGGCCCCCTCGGGCCGCAGCACGAGCTTCGCGGCGCCGCCGAAGTCGCAGGTCGCGCCCGTCGCGAAGTGGGCGCCCCAGTACGCCGCGAAGACCTCCGTCGCGCGGTCCCTCAGCGTGTCGTTGTGGAGCGCTTTGAACGACGCGACCGCCGCCTCGTCGTAGCCCACGCAGTAGGCCATGCCGTCGCGGTAGGTCTGGTCCGGCAGGTCGTTCTTGGCCACGCAGGCGTAGACGTCGGCCCCCGCGTCCTCCGACGCGCAGGCCTCGAGCAGCGCGCGCGAATCGTCGAGCGCCGCGAGCCACCCCGCGTCGCGCGCGGCCAGCCAGGACCACGACGGCTCGAGCTCGTTGCGGAAATTCCAGAAATAGAAGCCGTGGGCCACCTCCTTGAAGGCCAGCAGCTTCTTCGACGCCAGGGCCGTCATGACCGCGTCCGTGTCGTCGAACTGCGGGTTCTGGATGTTCCCCGTGAGCGCGTTCCCCGCGCCGAGGCGGTCGAGGCGGTCGATGACGCCGTCGCCGTCGCTGTCCAGGAGCGCGTTGGGCCAGTCGCGGTCCACGGGGCACTGGCCGTAGATCGGGCCGGACACGCCCGTGCCGAACGGGCCCTGGAGCGGCTTGCTCCGGTCCGGCGGCGCGCGCGGCTGGCCCTTGCCCATGTAGGGCTCGGCGCAGGGCACGTACTTGCAGGGCAGCTTCGGGTAGCCCGGCAGGTTGTCGTTGAAGCCGTTGAGCCACATCGCGCAGTTGTCCGTCGCGAGCGACCACTCGCCGACGATCACCTGGGCCGGAAAAGAGTGATTCGACGTCGCTTCGACGTGCGTGTTCCGCGCGCGCGCGTTCCGGAAACAAGCATCCACGCTTCGAGACCGTTCCGAGAGATGATCGCTCGTCCAAAAATCGGCCGAAACGAGTGGACACCGGCCGAGAGAGGAGCCTTTGAAGTTGGGAATGTCGCGCTCTTTTCCCGCCCCGACGATCACGGGGCCGAACGCCCGCTCCAGCTCGGCGATCTTCGCCTTCTGCTGGCAGGCGTCGACGTAGAACTTGAGCCGCGGGCCCGGGTCCATCCACGCCTGGTAGATGTGCGTGTCGATGGCGATGTCCGGGCAGCCGCGCATGAAGCCGCCCCACGCGTCGGCCGTGAACCGGAACGAGTCGTGGATCACGTAGCGCCACTTCGGCGCGCGCCGCTTGATGGTCAGATAGCCCCGCCAGTAAAAGTCCTTCAAGATGTCCAGCGGCGACCAGTTCCAGGGCTCGTTCACCGGCTCGATGCCCAGAACCGCCGGGTGGTCCGCGTAGCGGTCCGCGATGCGGCCCAGGACGTCGAGCGTGAAGTTCAGATTCGCGTAGTCGATGGAGTCGTACAAGCCCGTGTGCTTGTTCCAGTTTCCCATCCAGGCCGCGCTCCGCCGCGGCCAGTGCTCGAACGTGATCGCGTCGGTGCCGAGGTCGCGCACCGTCGACGTCCACGCGAGGCCCACGGTCTCTCCTCCGTTGTCGAAGCCGTTCTGCGACCCCCTGACCGCGTGGACGTCCAGGAGCACGCTGAGGTTGTGCCGGTGCGCCATGTCGAGCACGGCGTCGACGCGCTTGAGGGAGCCCTTGAAGCACGTCTTGTAGGGCCCGTAGGGCGCGAACTGGTAGTCGCCCACGGGCAGGCGCAGCGAGTTGACGCCCGTCGCCGCGAGGCGCGCGACGACGTCGTCGGTGACCCAGTGGTCCCAGTGGCGCCGGAGCTGCGCGTTCGCCTCGTCGCCGCCTAAAACCTCGCAGAAGCTGTGCGTGTCCATGGCCGTCGTGGTGCTCTTGCCGCCGAGGAACTGGTAGAAGAGGCTCGGCGTGATCCAGGGCTCGAGCACGAAGAGGGACCCGAGGTTCACGCCCACGAGCTTCTCGTTCCAGGGGTTGAGGTGCGCGTCGCTCGCGCAGGTCTTCGAGTCGTGCAGCGGCGCGAAGCCGTCGTACTCGAAGGCCGTCGCGGTGGTGAGGAGGAGCAGGAGTTTTGTGACGCTGCCGCTCCTCGAGTTTAGCATCGCGCCGTAGCGAATAGAAGGCGCGCCGTCGCGCACTGCCTCTTCTCCCGCTGTTCCTCCCATACGTTTGGAGCAAACTGGAGTGCCCCTGTCGCACGAAGTGCGCCGCCTCAACTTCTCCCGATGTTCCTCCTGCATCGCAACTGGAGCACTTCGTACGAAGTCGCAGTGGCAATTTCCAGCCTTCATATTGCAGTGCAGCGTGCACCCCGAAAAGCCCAGTCAGGAATGGTGGTCGCCTTCAGCTCCTGATGGCGTCGTTCACGCGCGAGGCCGAGGCGCTCGAGGCGTGGGTCGCCGCGGAGGTCGCCTGCTACCGCGTCGCGAACCCGCGGGGCGCCGCCGTGCGGGAGACGGCGGCCCTCGACTCGCGGCTCCTGGGCTGCATCGCGGGCGGCAGCTTCGTCACCGTCGAGGCGCGCGAGACGCTCGCGAGCGGCAAGGCGCGGGCGCGCGTGGCGACGTGCCTCGGCCAGGTGGGCTGGTCCACGTGGAACGAGAAGTTCTTCGTCCCCGCGGCCGCGGCCGATTTAAGTGCCGCGGTCGCCAGGGCCAGGGCCGCCGCGGGCGAGGTCGCCGCCGAGGAGGCGTCCATCGAGGCCGTGCGGCGCGTCGAGCGCGCCTGCGTCGCCCTCGCCGACGGCGGCGAGTCCCCGGACCTCGTCTGGGACGCGTGCGACGCCGCGCTCCGCTCGCCCGAGCCCAAGCGCGCGCGCGCCGCGCTCTACCCGCGGCTCATGGCGCTCGCCGCCGGCGCCGACGCGGACCGGGGCCGCGTCGCCGTCGGCGCGCTCTTCGGCTTCGCCGCGGCGCAGACGGGCTTCGAGGTCCGCGCGCGCGGGCCGTCGCCCGAAACCGCCGCCGGGTTGGTGATCTTCCACGGCTGGGGCGGCAGCGGCATCGACGACTACGAGGCCGTGCTCGACATGTACGCCACGCTCGCGCCGCGCTGGGCGCTCGCCGCCGCGTGCACGCCGGGCTTCGTGAAGGGCCGCTGCTCCGCGGCCATCGACGAGCTCCGGGACCGGCAGCTGAAAACGCTGGTCGACGCGGTCGCGCGCGCGCCGCGCGTCGTCTTCCACACCTTCAGCAACCAGGGCTGCGCCGGCCTCGAGGCCTGCCTGGATGGCGTCGTCGACCGGCTCGGGGCTTCGACGCTGAAGGAGAAGACGGACGCGTTCGTCTTCGACAGCGCGGCGGACATGGCCGCGGACGCGGCGCTCTTCCACCAGGTCATCACGAAATCCGTCGCCGCGGAGTTGAAGGCCATGGACATGCCCCTCCACCAGGTCCTCGACCGGGCCTTCGAGCGCAACGTGCGCGCGTACTGCGCGACCGCGTACGACGGCGACGACCCCGAGCGCGCGGGCTCCCTCGACCACCTCCTCGCGACGATGCGAGCCGCCGACGCGCGGGCGCTCTGCCTCTACTCCGACGGCGACAAGCTCATCACGCCGCGCAAGGTCGAGCAGTTCGCGGCGGTGCTCGAGACGCACCACGGGCGGGACCGGTGCGCGCGCGCCAAGTTCGCGGGGCCCGCGCACGTGCGCCTCTTCGCCGACGACCCGGACCGCTACGCCCGCGAGCTCGCGGGCCTCTTCGCCGGCTTCGCGGGCGAGGCGCGCGTGCCCTGAGAGGTGGGGGGGGGTAGGTGGCAGATAACCGAGTCGTCCCCCACGTACCGCTTGCAGATCCGGCACTTGACGTATGTTCCTCGCTTCCACTTCGGGTGCATGAATTCTTCCAGGTACTTCTTCCGTTTCGCGTCTGTGGCGGACCACCCGTCGTCGCCGTGGAGCCAGCCCCTCGACTCGACGCGCCAGGACGACATGCAGGACACGTTGGACGTGCAGTGCGTCGACGCCATCCTCAGGACGGTGTCCTTCTGCATCAAACACGAAGAGCGGCGGCGCGAGGACATCGCGAAGAACATAAACTTCTTCGCGTCGCTCGCGGCCTCGGTCGAGGCGCGACTCGGCGACGGCTCGTGACCTCCGAGAACGCGCTCAATCTCCGAGTCGCCGAGGTGATCGGCGCGCGGCTATTCGGCACCCACACCAGCCTCTACACGCGCCGCGGACGCCTCTCGGGGCCCTGCTAGACG